AATTACTTAAAAAAATTACTTAAAAAAAAAATGAGCAAGGCCCCACCTAAAAAAAAAAAAAAAAAAAAAAAAAACAAACAAATACATGTTTTAAGTGCAGGTTGAGTAGATAAGTAAAAATAGTAGTATTTTTTGTTTTTATCTTCGCAGAGTTTTGGATCAACATTAATAGGAAGAATACGAAGAGTTTCAGATTTGTTTTCTGCCATTGCGAGACCATGGTGGTTGGGGTACCTAAAGTACCAGTAGTCGAGGTTAAAAGAATCAGGCTTGTTAGAAATAAGAGTAGGCATATTGAGATATGTTTATAATATTAACTAAAAAGGAAAAATATCTTTTGAATTTAGCGAGTTATAGAAGAAATTTGCTTGAAAAATATATTTGGTAATAATAAATTAGGTTTAAAAAATAATAAAATTTTTTTTAATAAACCATATTTTGTTACACCTTTTTTCAGTTTTTTTTTCTTTTATAATGACAAAGAAAAAAGTTTCTATTGCTACTCATATGAATAAACATTCTGGTGTTTTTAGAGAAGATAGAGGGGTTATGTTCTGTAATTATTGTGATTTGTCTATTGAATGGAAAGCCAAATCAACTGTTGACAGATATTGCAGTTTAAAGGGGTATTTAAAAAACAAACAAGCATATGAAAATAAAGAAAAATCCTCCAAACAAGTTACACTTGCTATTACTATTGCATCTGAATCAAAGAGGAAGGTTATAGAGGATTTAATTAAGGCTTTTTCATTTGCTTATATCCCTCTTGAAAAAGTAAATCACTTACTTCTATTTTTTAAAAAGTATTTTAAAGAAGGTAGTGCAATTCCTCAAGCTTCCACACTTCATCAAATTTATTTACCAAATGTTTTTAATACACATTTTTCTTCACTTCAAGATCTTTTTAACCAAAAATCCATAGCTATAATAATAGATGAAACTATGAATGATTGTTCATGTAGTGTTGTAAACACTCTTTTTAACTTTTGTCAAGATACAAAAATAATTTTTGTTGATTTTTTAAGTGTAGTTAATAATTTAATGATTGGTGGAGTTTTATTAATCCAATTAGTTAAATATAAAATTTCTTACACTTTATTAAAATTATTTGTTACTGATTCTGTAGCTTATATGAAAAAATATTATCAAGACATTTTAAAACTAGTTATGCTACAGTTATTTTATGTGCTATGTTGTGCATATATTATTAATCTTATCGGGTAAATACCTTTAATAATTTTAATTTAATTTTTTTTTTATAACCTTCATGTTGTGTATTGTATTTTTATTATAATGATTATATATTATTTATTTATTAGTGATACCTGGCAAACATATCCAGAATTTGATCTTCTAAGAATTCTTTTATCAAAAATTAAAGAAATATTTGTTAATTCACCCACGTGTAAAGGTCATTACTTAAACCATCTTTGAATGCATGGAATTAAAAATTCCTGTAAAATTCTATTACCAAATAAAACATGTTAGAACTCATAGTTTAAGAAGGTATCATATGCTAAGGATTATATTGAGTATTGGCCTTCCTTCTATTCTAAAGAATATAAAAAAGATAAAAATCATGAATCAATTGCTAAAATAAATGAAATTTTACAGGATAAGCATAAAAGAGACATAATTATTATTTATATTAATTTTATAGCATATTATGCATAAGAATTTATTTATAATTTAGATTTTTTTTAGCAACAAAATAAGCTGTATGTTGAAGGATTGTACAGATTGAATAAGTGGAATTAGGATAAGACCTTTGAGAGTAAACTGAAGAGAGTATGGGTAGAGTAAAGAAGGTTGGGAGGAGAAGGATGGGTAAGAGGAAATAGTATGTTCAGGTAGTTGAGTTCGAGTAAAGAAAGGTTAAAATTGAATTTGAAAACAGTTTTGTCAATACAAGTGTTAATAATTTGAGTTAGTTGATTATAGTTAGAACAGGTATACCAGTGAGATGGAGAGTCAGGAAGATTGCATTGGAAGCAGTTGGAGGATGAGAATAGATTAGAAAATATAGAATGATAGTGGAAGTGTGTAGGTAAATTGTTAAGCAAGATTTTGATTTTGAAAGATTTAAGGTGATTGA